GAAAGGAAGCCAGTTTGGTGAGATGCAATGATAGGGAATGGTTAGTATTTTTACAGAACCAAGAATCAGAGGACCTGGGGCTGGTTCTGATGCATATATGTAATTTAGGCAAATGGCAAATCATTTAACCTCTCATGGCCTCTTCTATCTACTCAGTCCTACCTCACAAGAATTCATGAATATAATGAAGGATAAGCTGGAGACTTTTGTAGGTAAATGGATGCAACTGAGACCATACTCCTAAGTGATTTGGTTTTTGGTTTTGGTTGTTTTCCAGTACTGGGAATCGAACTCACGACCTTGAGCTTGCCAGACAGATGCTGTGTCGCTGAGCTAAATTCCCAGCCCCTCATACTCCTAAGTGAAATAAACCAGACGCAAACGAGTAAACGTTGTATTGTCTCCCTAGTGTGAGAAGCTGAAAGAGTAAATGTGATCCAAAATGCACCATAGATATTGTAAAATGGGAAGAAACTTCAAAAGGAAAGAGAAACTAGTTTAGGGGAAGGGGAAAAAAGGGAAAAAGCAAAAGGAATACACACACACACCCACACACACACCAAAAAAAGATAGTTAAGATAGTTGTGCTGCTCAGTTCACTGAAGGGATAGGTTTGTGCTAATATTGTTTGAACAATTAAATGCTGGTATCTTGTACTCTAAGTAACTGATTTGAAGATAACAATTCACAATGTGTTGACCATTGTTACCCTCCTATCATACTGTTTTGGAATTTTGGTTTTTATGTTTTTGTTTTTTTTTTTCTTTGAAATTAAAAAAAAAGGAATTCATGGATGTAAAAGTATTCTGAAATCCATGTGCTACAAATTTATACAGAGTCATTGTGAAAAAATCAGCACTCACTGGGCATAGTAGCATATGCCAGTAGTCCCAACACCTCAGGAGGCTGAGGCAGGAGAATTGCAAATTTGAGGTGTTTGGGCAAATTAGAGACTTAAACGTTGTCTTGAAAAAAAAAAAAACATAAAAATTTTAAAAAAGGATTATGGATGTAGCTCAGTGCAAAAGTGCTCAGTTCAATCTCCAGTATGGGACTGGGGTGGGGTAGATAAGCTCTTACTGGCAAGAGGTGATTTCCTAAGACCATGGCATTACTAGGACTTAGGATGAAGAGTGGCAGCTCAGGAGAAAAGACAAAATCTGTGGCCTTGGAGGTGGTGCTGAAAGGGGCAGGGAGGAAGGTCAGTCCCCAGGAGGCAGAAACTAGGGGAAGAAAGGGAGAGTACAGAGTCTGCAAGCAGGAGGAGGCAGGCAGACAGGAAGATGCCAGGCCCATTCAGGCTGGCAGATCCCAAGCTAACGGAGGAGGACAACTCCAGTAATCAGGGGTTAGATAATAATAAGGCTTCTCCCTGCTGGTTTTCAACTGTAGCACAAACAAATCATTATAACTCATTGCCAACCTCCTACTGTTGGAGTCAGGTGTCCACAAATCTAAGGGAAGACAGACTGAGGAAGCTTCACGGGCAAGAAAACCTAGGCCTTGTCTTACCCCCATACTGCTTCTACTTCCAGAAGTCCAATAGAATGCCATGAGAGAGAAGGTAAGAAAGAGCGCTATGAAAGACCAGGAGACAATAAGAGAACCTAGAAGGAGGCTTAGAGTAACAAAGCTGAGTCAGCTGGAAGAGCAGGTGGAGGGTGGGGCTCACAGGGAGGGGAGGAAGGACGGTCTGAATCATAGACTCGCAAAGGAAGGCCAGGGTTACTCTCTACAGGGTGGAGACCAGATATTCTCTGGATCCACCAAGAACCAACCCAGAATAAATTACACCTGAAGAGACATAGGTGATATAGGAGGAACTTCCTGACTAGCAGGATGGAGCAAGCATATTCACTCAACTCTTCAACAGGCTTATCTCTCCTTTTCTTCCTAAGAAACCTTCTCTGACCCCTTTTACACCACCTCTGAGGGCCTGGTGAACCAATTCATACATTCATTCAACAAACAATGAGTGCTTGCTATGTGCTAGGTACTGCCAAATACTAGAATGTGGCAGACAATGAACAAAATACAAACAGTTCGCTCCTTTATGGAGCTTATAGTCCAGTCAAAGAAGCAGACAATAAAGGAAGACGCAATGACACAACTATGAAAATCTGAAGAAAAAGTACTGAATACTATTAGAAAGATTAAAGGGAGGTCATGATGGAGGGAGGGCAGGAAAGGCCTAAGGAAGTGACATTTCAGCTGAGACCACAAGGACATGTAAGAGTTAACCAAGCAAAGACCAGCTGGTAGGAGGGGTAAGGGCTTTAAAGCAGGAAAGGGGCTTAAATCTTCAGGCAGTGGGAGGCACTAAGCATCCTTAACTACTCAGCCCTGAATCTGCCTTTGACAACCTTTATACATGCTTGTACAATGTTTTGTCTCTCACACCCCAAGCGTATCCCCATCAGAGTATCCCCAAGGGTGGCCACAGACTCTCCCATTGGGCTGAGTGCGTCCTTGGGTGGGTCCAGAGCTTTCACACAAAATGCCATAGGCCTGAGCAACTGCCCAGTGATTGCCAGCACCCCTGGTTCAGGAGCAGAACAAACAGGAGTTTCACGTTCTCATGTAAGGTTTTCAAGTCACTCTCTTCTAATGATGCCTGAAGACTTTGAGGACATGGCAGGAGGATCTAGGATACGGAAAGGGAGCCAGGTTTACAATTCCAGGCCCACACCTGGGCTGTGACTCACCATAGCCATTAAGATTGAAATCAACACACTGGGTAGTTTTCTCTTTCTTAAAACAGTAAGGCAGGAGGGAAAGAATATTAACAGAACCCCTGGAGACACCCTTTCTTAGCACCTTCTTCAACAAGGGAAGTAGGCAGTTGTGACCTCTCTCATGAGCATTTACCAGGCTCAGCACGTCCCATCACTTTTATTTAATCCTCACAACAGCCTGGTTAGATATTGCTATCCTCACTTTACAAAGGATAAAAATGAAGTATGGTATATTGATTACTTGCCAAAGATTCAACAGTAAATGGCTGAACTTGGATTTGAAGCTCAATCTCTCCCAGACCTATGCTATTAGTGGCTCCACCTATTCCAGTTCCCTCTCACCTCAAAATCCAAATAACAATTCCCTGTCTTTCCAAGTCAGTCCTCACTTAGTCATAACTACTCTTCCTCTCGGCCCTAACTGACTCAGGAAACAGTGTCTGAAGTGTACACATTCCAACGGTCACCTTCCCTTTACTCTGTCTTCTTCCAGCAGATGCTCAGCCCCCTGCCCACAGCCCAACACCAAATCCACCCTGAGTTCTCTAACCAGTGTGTACTCATTTCTCTCTTGGCCAAACTCTGACACTCTGGCCCTCCCGGGCTCCGCCCCCACCCCTGTATCATTCTCTCTACTCCTCCTTTGCCCAGGGTAACACAATCATCACCTCACATGAGCACTTTTCCTTGGATAGAGAATACTTCAAACCCCACATCTAATCTATTCATATGTTTACAAACAGTACACCACATAGCAGGCACTCAAAGAGTTTTAGGAAGGAAGGGAGGAAAGGATTGCTGGGTCTGGAGGATCTTCAGGATTGTCTGCCCCTGCAGTTCTCAGCAGGAAACTGGCATGAGCTTACTGGAAAAGCCACACATCAGGACCCCACCCTGGGTCAACTGAATCACCTCCAGAAGCAAGGCCTGGGTATGTGGAACTTTCAAAGACTGCAGGGTGACCCTGATTGAGCCTCTGAGTAAGAGCTACTGAGTTCCTGTCCCCTGTTTTGTAAGAGAGAAAAGCAAGTCCCAGAGAGACATAAGCTAGAAATGGAATGGAAACTAGAACCAGGTCTCCCCACTTCTAATGCCAAGCTCATTCCATGGATTATACTGCTACAGTGACTCTCTCAGCTGCTCTCCAACTGAGAGTCTCTAAAGCATTTTACCCAAGAAAGTCCTGAGCCAGGGCAGGGGGGCTAGGCAGTTGCAGGGTCTAATCTGAAAAGACTGCACTTGGGATCCCAGGATGACCGTTACATGTAAGTTACATGTAAGTGCCTTGTTTCTAGGGAAGGCTGGGCAATCAGGCAGAGTAGCTAGGCACATGAGTACTGGGTGGCAGTTCTAGCTGCAAGACCTTGGTTACTGCTAGCCCCTTTTAAAATGTGAGATGGCCTGTAGGTGCTCTGCTCTAGCACAAGCGCTTAAATATCAGTGAGGGTGATGACAACAATATCCAGGCTGTGCTTAATGCCAGACTACAGGATAACACCTAAGGAAGATAATTTCTAGGAGTCAGCAATTGGAACATTTCTGTATTCAAATTGAGCACTAGGATTGAATAGAGTAGGCTCAGTCCAAGGAAAACAATCAACCTCAACTGATACCTGGCTCAAACTAAGGAAAAAACAAAACAAAAACAGGCTTTAGATTGCAGAGAGGAACTGCAGTGAGAAGGCCCATTTAGTATCGGGCAGCCCTGGAAAGTGGTGTTGGATATATGTAGCCTTCTCTAAGGTCATGCACAGAAGACAGAGGAAAAGGACTTATGAGTCCACTAGCTTTCTGTCAGTCCGTGGTATCTGGCACTAGTGAGGAGATGCAAAGCTCTCTGGTGCTGCAGGCTTTTGCTTGGTAGTCTAGCGACACAGCCCTTACTGGTGCACCCTAAGATACCACCCAAGCTACCACCTAAGGCTTCTACCACCCCGACTCTGATCTCCAAGACAGGGAGCTCTCTTGCTCTCCTTTCCTCAACTCTTCCTGGTTCCCTTAAATACCAAGCCCATCTCTCCCTCCTTTTCCCCTCTTCCTCTCTGAAGGTCAAAGAAAAAACCACATACAATGTGGACCAGAAAAGGCCATCAAAGCAATCACCTCCATTCTCAGGTTGTACTTTGGGTCTGTGTAAGGATATGGACACCACAGAGGGATGACCTGGCCTCAAACTGTCCTTATAACATATGTGTCTCCTCACACACAAATGCAGAAAGTTGTTAAATTTTATCCCGAAATGACCTTCTTTCCAACTTCCTCTAGCACTCAACTCCGAGCCCAGGATGAGTGGAAGTAAGAGACTGGAACAATCAAGATGATGGATGTAAGTACCAACTACAAAACCAGAAAGCGACATTTAGCTGGGAGCTGAGTATGGGAAGAAAATCCTTACTTTCCCACTGCCCAAACCTCTTGTAATTCCATGTAGCCGTTTCGAAAGCTCTTTTCAGAGGTCGATCACTTTGCATTACAGCCAGAAGGGAGGGCAGTGTCCTGGGCTGGCTGGTGACACACAGACTCCTGAGACAGTTCTTCTTACATGACTGGACAAATACTAGGCTTCTGCTATGTCTGGCCCTCTACTCAACTCAGGACACACAAAAAGGGTGGTTGCCAGGGGGTGTGGGGAACAGGGAACAGATTTAGTGTTTTGGGAGTTTTTTTTGTCTTTTTGAGACAGGGTCTCGCTATGCAGTTCAGGCTGTGCTTGAGCTCACTTTGTAGTCCAGGCTGGTCTCAAACTCACAATGATCCCCCTGCCTCAGCCTCCCAAGTGCTGGGATTACAAGAATGCACCATCACACCCGGTCAGATTTAGTGTTTAATGGGTAGAGATTCAGCTGAGAAAGATGAAGTTCTAAAGAGGGATGGTGGTTATGATAGCACAACAATGTGAATATACTTAATGCCACAGAACTGTATGTTTAAAAATGGTTAAAATGGTTAAGTTCAATGCTAAGTATATTTAATCATAATAAAAAAGATTTTTATTAAGAGAGGTGGGAGGAAATGAGACAGGCTTCCTCTCCTCCCTCTGAAGAACAGAACTTCTTTTGAATTATTCAGCTTTCACTCCTGCAAACTAAATCTTCTGAATTCTTTTGCATGTCTTTCTCTTTCTGTCACTGGAGTACTCTGTCTGGCAGCCCAACATCCAAAAATTTCCATCAGTTCTGGGCATAGACCCCACAGAGCTTTGTATTCTTAACATGTATCCATCAATGCCAACCAACTGGCAGTTCCCAAAGGGCCAGGTTTAAGTGTCTTATTCCTTCCTGCCCTCACCAAGTCCCAGCTATACAATTAAGACCTATCCTCTACTAAGACACAGATATATAGACTACATGATCCTAGAGGGCAGAAAACATTTCTCAAAACAGGCTGTCTCTAATCCATGAAATGGGCCATATTCCTAGTCTCTAAGACTTTATAAAGAAACATTATGCATGGTGTTCTAGCCCTTGGTAAGCCCACAAAGCCTTTTTAAACAGGTCACAGAAATATCACATATTTATAATTAAAGGAAGCAGAAAACGGGCTGGTTGCACATAGTCTAGCATGTTCGCTACAAACTGCCCTCCTGCTCACCTATACACATTCCCAGCCACCTGGAACTGGCCTCCAGCAGCATGGAGGTGAGTAGAAGCTCAGGTTCTGAGTGAGTCAGACCTGAGTCTGAATTTGGGCCCTGCCACTTACAGGCTGTCCAACTGTAGCCAAGTTATCTAATTTCCAAGTCACTTCTTGATTTCTTCATGTTAAAAATGAGGATAATCATCCTCTTCAAAGGGTTATTGTGAAGAATAATGAGATTACATAAGGGAAGAACCTAGTGTACAGTAAGCGCTCCTTGTTCTTATTCCAGCCCCCAAACCCCCTTCTGAAATGAATGTCCATTAAAATATAAATGACTTGTATCAAAGCAATCTTTGTTCCAAGTTGGAGACAGAAAAAGAGCTTACAAGACTGGAGGGACAGAAAATCAAAGAACTCTGGTGCACGTGCTGCCTGTTCCCCAAGCCTGCCTTGACATGTGGATCCCAGGTAGCTTTCCCATGAGGAATGATTTTGCTAAGGTTAGAGAGACTTCTCCAAATCTGAGACAGGGTTGGTATCTGTCAAGTTCTGCTTTCCTAATGTGGATCTGAAGACGGTAGAAGGGAGCTCTCCTGCACAGCTTCCATTCCTGACTCAGTAGCTCTGGGCCTGGCCACTCCTCTGCCCCCAGGGGATACATGGGGGCAAGGTGTATTCTACTCTCTCCTTGCTCCCCTGCAATTTGAGTGATGACAACCATTCTTTTTTTTTGTTTTGTTTTTCTCCGGTACCGGGAACCGAACTCATGACCTTGCGCTTGCCAGGCAGGCGCTTTTTGCCACTGAGCTAAATCCCCAGCCCCATGACATCCATTCTTTACCTGTCTTCAAGGTGACAACCACAGTATGAAAGGACATCAGGGAAGAGGCAAATGTGCTGGCCCCCTCTCAAGCACTGCATCCACATGCCCACCTCTGCCTCATGGCTTCAACGCACCATGTCCAATTGTTTTACTGAAGACTCTTTCCTGAAGACTTTGAATTAAAGCCCAAGTACTGCACACTGTAACCACTTTCTTACAAGTGTGCCTTGAAAGAAAGAGTGGGTGGGTGGTGAAAAGAGAACATGAAAATCTTAATAGTCTGGCTTGGAGCCCACCCATTTTACCTTCAGAGGTGTGCTGGCAGACAAATAAAAGCTGTTAGTCTAAGAGATACATGCCCTGCGCAAAAGTAAGTTAGAGCCTATATTCCTTCTCCACTCAGAACTAAACAAGGAGATGTAGGAACTAATTCCTGTTTCACAGAAGAAACCTGTCTAGTCCTTCCCTTGGCTCCTCCCATGTCCACATAACAAGTTCAAGACGGTACAGTGGCAATCTAGACAGGAAAAACAATTCTTCAATGCTTTGTCCCCAAGATTACTGGATAGCTAATATTCCCACATCGTAAGTGCCATGAATGCTCCCAAGACATGCTGACAGTTAAACCTCCTTCCTCACCGCTTCCAAACACGCTCAGAGGACACTGCCGCCCTGGCTGAGAAACACTGAGTACACACGTGTACTGTGTCCCATGGGGCCCACCACAAAGTAGCACTGAACCTAGCAGGGAAGGACAAGTCACAAGAAAACATATTCAGATACCTATCTCTGAACACTTACTATGTATTCAGCATTTTTATAAGCACAGTAGGGGATCAAAGGAAACATGGATCAGTCATTATACATAAAGATGTGGTAGGAAAAACAAGAACCGTAAGACATTATTCAATATAAGGCAATATGCCATCAAATTAAATCAAATGGCTTGTGAGAAAGTAGAAAAATAAGTTAAGGCCTAGCATTGTCAGAGGACACTTTATGGAAAAAAACAGAAGTTGAAGTGCCTCTTGAAGGAGATGGAATTTGAGGGTGACTGCAGATCCTCAATCTGTTTCTGCAAAGACTACTGTCCATGGAAAACGCCTCTCAATCCATGGTTCCAGGAATGATTCAGCAACCCAAGCCTTCAAATCCCATCTCAAATGGTTCCTGGTAGAAGAAAGTGTGAGAAATTTTCCATTCTCCCTCAGAAGCACAACCAATATCAGGCCTGCTTTAAGGATGTTTTTCATCCTAAAGACATGACGAAGGTGCCCAAGCCCAAACCAAATGCATTCGCTGCCACATGAACTTAAGTCATAAATGCTGAGTGCTAAAAATCCTAGGTGACTCCAGAAACTCCCAACTCTGCCTGTCACTTATGGCCCTGATAATCTCCTGCTGGGGGACTCAACCTTCTCAGGTGTTTCTGAGGTTTTAGCTACTTCCTCTGTTGAAGGTCTCTGGCCTCATTCCCCAACAACTATCACCAGTTTTCTAGGCAAACAGTTCCCACTTTCATTCCTCTCTCTCCAGCCTCTCAGGCTCCTTCCACAGATTGTGCCACCAACCCGGTTTCTCACAGCCCACCCCACCCTCTTCTACTCCACCATCAATTTGACAAGCAGGCTGCTCCTGAAGTCTGACTCCTCCCAGAGCCCCAAGCCTTGTGGCTTCTCCAACCATTTCACTTCAAACATGCAACATCAGTAACACTCCCCCTACACACCCCACTCATCCTTTACTTGTACTCTCAATAAATAGATGAGACTCTCAATTTAAATGAATGTACACTGAGAGTCTCATCTATTTATAACCAGTATCTATCTAATGTTAGGAAGAGTCCCACTTCCCACAGACCACAGGAGAGAAATCTAAGCTGGGCCTACTTCCTGTGAAACTTAACCATCTTCTAAAGCCTTGCCACTACTCAGGGTAGTAACATCTAGTGACACACCCTTTCCCTCATACACCAACTCCAGGGGACAAGAAACTCACTTAACCCCTGCAGAGTCACATGGGTGTTCACAGACCCACCACTTAGAGACCCTCCCTCCCAATAAATAAACGTGAGCATTAGAGTCATGTGCCTTTTCCATATCTTTGCCCTAACTTTTGAAACAAACTATTTTTTCCCTCCTACAGGATGGTTCAAAAAATATCATTTTGGAAATTAAACCTGAGTTTCCAACCTATCCTCAGGCTCCTGGCTCTTGGTTAATCCAATGATCCACCCTAAGAATGGCCCCACTGGAGGGTCTCCCAATTCTAGCCATCGCCAAATTCCCACCTGTTAATTCAGAGCTAACTACTCTTTCTGTAGCAATGCCAGCTTAGCTCTCTGACATGTGACTTATGTCTTAATAAACCAACCAAACACTTTTGTCTTATAAAAAGTAAAAATAATTATTGTTATATGTGCTCATGGCATGCTAAAGTTTCCTGCTACCATCCTTATCGTGACTTGCAACTTCATATACAGCTATCCTTCAGTACCTTTGGGGAATTGGTTCCAGGACACCCAGGACCTCAAAATCTGTTGCTCAAGAATCTTACATAAAATGGCATATTTGTACAGAAACTACATATGTCCTCTTATATACTTAAATCACCTCTAGATTATTTATGATAATACAGTGTAAGTGCTACATACTTACAGTATATTGTTTAGGGAATAATGACAATAAAAAGTCTATCCATGTTCAGTACAGAAGCAGCTTTTCCCCCTTCAAATATTTTTGATCTGAGGTTGGTTGAATTCACTGATGCAGAACCCATGGATACTGAGGCCCCAACTGCATACAACTACTTAGTGTTTCTCCCCATTGTTAGACTAGGAACATCATGTCTTTTTTTTTTTTTTTGATAGTACTAGAGATTGAACCCAGGGCCTTTACAGTGAGCTGGATTCCCAGGTCATTTTTATTTTGAGACCGGGCCTGGCTAAACTGCAAAAAATAAAATAAAATAAATAAATAAATTGCTAAATTGTCCAAGGTCATTCAAACTTATGATCTTCCTGCCTTAGTTTCCAAGAGAGCTGGGATTACAGGCATCCATGCTACTGTTCCATGTCTGTCTTTTGTCACTGTGTCTTCTGGGGCCAATTCTAGGTCTTTCCTCAACATGAAATCCTATTCACATCCTTAAGCTATCTCACCATAGGACAAGAACTCTAGGGGCTCCTTTGGGAAAAATCCTCCACCATTTCCTATGTGTAGTAAAGAGTCTCTACTACAGTGTCTTCTTATCACTCTCTGGAGGAGCTTTCCTACATATGGGACAAGCCCAAATTCAAGTCAAAGACTGGATGACTGGAAAGAGAATGGCAAGAAGAACTAGCAAGAGGAGAGAATGAATGTGCGCTGTGGCCAGGGTCCAAGTCTTCCAAGAAGTCATGTTTTTTACATTTCTACATTCTGTGGGTATTCAAGAAATGCTGTGAAGGTGACTTATTACCTTGATTACCTTTTGTTCTATTTCTTCAACACATGGAAGAAGAAACTGAGAGGAACAGACAGGTATAAACAGACAGGTATAAACTGAGAGGAACAGACAGGTGCTAAGGGGGTTGAGACTATCAGATTTCAAAATGACTGACCACTAACCATGAGACCACAGAAAATGAGTATAATTCATGGAAATCAGATTTAATCGAAGCCTTGAAAGATTTAAGATAGTAAGGAATGCATTAACAGTTAATAGAAGGAAAGATCCTAGCCTGGTGCACTGGCATGTATCTATAATCCCAGCTACTCAAGGCTGAGGCAGAAGGATCACTTGAGTTTAGATGTTCAAGGCCAGCCTGGGCAACACAGTAAGATCCCACCTCCAAAAAGAATAAAAGGGGAAAAGCAGGGAGGGAGAGAGGGATAAGAAGATAGAGAGGACCCTAGTTTGCAAAAAATGTTTTGTTTTTTTTTTCTTTTTTGTGCTGGGCCTTGAAGCCAGGCCCTCTGCACCGAGTTACATTCCTGACCCTATTTTTTACTTTTTTTAAAGTTTTAGACAGAGTCTCACTAAACTGCCCAGGCTGGGCTTGAATTTTTGATCCTCTTGCCTCAGCCTCCCACAGTGCTAGGATTAAAGGCATGCCTAGCTGCAAAGGTGCATCTTGGGTAGATTTCTCTTAGAGCTCTGGTTGAACAGTTTAGTATACACTACTGAGCACAAGATCACATCCTTCCCATAAGATCTAGAATCTAGTTCTTAACAGTAGACTAACAAATACTCAAGTGACTGACTGGTGCAGAAAAGGATCGTGCACTGATAATCTTGTCTGATGCAACTTGTCTAAACACAGAAAGGTCTGGCAGGCAGATTCTTGGATGGCTTCTGGAAATGCTCTCCAGTTCCACTGGCTATGCTGCTGGATTAAGAGGTTACTACATCCTTTATTTGAACACCTACTCTAGAATGCAATCTTACTGGGAGCAGTTTCAACACTTTCTGCCATCCTGTCCCCTAAGTGACAAACAAGGATACTCTACATAGCCCAAGCTACGTGTGCTACCCTGACTTGGCGCAGCTCAAAGGAATAGGGGGCAGATTTGAAGTCAGGATCCTATACAGCATCATGTTAGCTGAGCTCCTCAGGAAAGGAGCAGCTGACTTTCTTGCTGACTCTCTTACCAATAACTGCCAAAACCTCACTTTTCTAAAGACTCCTTTTCCCTCCACGTAGGTCTAAGGGGTATGGCAATCTCTCAATCTCTCTCTCTCTTTTATCTTTTTTTATTTTTTTGTCTTTTTGAGACAAGGTTTCACTATACAGTTCAGGTTGACCTTGAATTCACTTTGTAACCCCAGCTAGCCTCGAACTCGTGGTGATGCTCTTGCTTCAGTCTTCAAGTGCTGAGATTACAGGCATAAGCCATCACGCTCAGCCATGGAAATCTCTCTTAACCACTGTAAAAAGGGTGATGGTTTCCCTCTGTTTAGGGAATGGCTGAACACCTAGTTCCAGCAAAGTTCTCTGTAATCTTCCTTCCATCACTTTGCAAAGCAGTATTTCACTTTATTCCAAATGTCACAAGCTCCCAAGTCCTCACACATATACTATGTGCAGTTCTCTAGGAAAAAAGTCACTAAATGCCCTTACTTCTGCTGCAGGAGGTCAGTCTTCCTATTCTCCTGCCTGCGGCATCTGTCATCAACATTTGGACAGCTAGCACATCAGAACACAGCAGCAGTCCCACACTGCTCA